AAAACTAAAACGAATATTTTATTATTAGAAAAAGGTGTTAAAGGTAGTTTTGTTACCGTCAATCGATTTAAACACTTTGGTTTTATTAAGCGGTAATTATGATCCTTTTTTTGGTATTTAATTTTATTTGTTTTCCAGTAAAGATAAAATTGAATGGCCTGATATTTTTGCACGAGAAGCTTCAATAATTGATCAAGTTCGTCCAAAGAAATTTTTTGTGGCTGATACCTGCAAATTTGACATCATGAAAAGTGAGTTATTTAACTCTAGTGACAACATAAATAATATCTCCTTGTCCTACAGCTCCTCGTGGTTATGAAGCTATCAATATTGATATTGTCGAGAGAAATATCAATTCCATTCGTAAGTTACCTAAAATTCCGAAGAAAAAAAAAGAGACCGATTCAAAAAAAACAGAAATATCTGGTGAACTATTCCAGTCAACATTGTAAATACAACTCAATTTATTCTTGACTTGATGTATATTAAATTAAATTCTATTGTAGGGCTATGCTTTTTCGTGAAGCTTTGAAGAAAAAGTAAATCCAATTGATCGTCGATTGATTTATAACAACAACATAATCAATATGACATTTGTTAAGATTTTTAACAGTTGAACAAAAGAATTTAAAAAAAAAAAGATCTTGTATTGAAGAAAATTGTAAAAAAAAACAATTTATCTTTGACTTAATAAAATACTTCATAAAAAAAAGCTTTTCTCATGAATACTTATTTGTTTTCATTCATACATTGAACTAAATCAAAGAAAATCTATACAAAACAAATGAGAATTTAGTCGAGCAATTATTTCACGGGGGAAACAACTGACTTTATTACTTAAATGATTTAAATGAGCTAAGTGATCTAAATGATCTACATGTGATCCACGTGATCTAAATGATCTACATGTGATCTACGTAATCTAAATGATCTACATATGATCTACGTAATCTAAATGACTTTAAAGTCATAAGAATCAATTGTTTCCCTCTTGGATTCTGCTTATACTCACTGTAACTGTCGAGTTTCTATTAGGCTACTGGAAGAAGGAAATAACTTTCTATGGTCTATCCATTATCGATGCTCATAAACAAGAAAATAATTAATGCTTGAGATCGAGATTGCAACGTAATCTAATCTAGTATTATGTACATAATATTTTTGAAGCTAAAAATATCATCGTCAAGACAAACGACGAGTATAAAAATAATTAGACATTATTGTTTTTCTGATTTTGACTAGTCTACTCGCTCCAAATGCATGTCATTCTCACAAAAATGTGAATATTCAAAGAAACTTCGTGAAAAATTCGTGTTTTCTACAGAAGTTTGAAACGTTAATTTAAGGTACGTCTGATGGACTTAATAACACTCGAAAACTTTGAGCTAGTAACATTATTATTTTCTCCAGATATTGCGTATTCATGTAAATTTTTTTTTATTTAATTTATTGTGCCATTTTATTTAGGTTCACAATTTTTACGCGAAAGAAGAGAAGTAGAGAAAGAAGATAGAAGAGAAAAAATATATATATATCAGCACATCAATTAAGGATACACAGAGAAGAAAAGGAAAGAAGGAGTAATATGGTTTTATACGTCATAAATAGATCAGGTAGAGATAACAGAAAAGAAAAAAAAAGGAACTCATATATCTGGTGACATCACTTATATATTTATTACAAAATCTAGCGAATAGAAAATAGAGTAACGAAGATATGAGAATGGTGGAATACATTTGCGTATTTGTATATCATTTCAATGAGGTCCATTTTCTTTTTAGTCAACGATTTTATTCAATATGGAATGCTTGATTACTCGATTTATCATTTTCGATTTATTACTATGAAAAGAGTAATACAAAAATAGTTGTGTGGGTATTTTATATTTTATATATTGCATATGTTTATTTTTCGTTTTATTTTAGTATGTTGTATTGATGGATTATTTCATGTTTCAATTAGATTATATATTCTTTTCTCGTCATATTTTCATTATTATTATGATTATGGTGGTTCAAGGAAGTATTTATACACAAACAAATTCAGGTAATATGAGTCTTTCTTATAAAATTCAAAATTTTGCTTCTGTACTAGTTCGAACGTTCTCCAATCTTCTAGAGTGTGTCGAGCGCGTTCTACTAACCTTTTAGAAAAAACGCTATTTTCCCTAAACCCCATAGATTTGTACCACGATTTGTCAGGTGATTTTATTATTTCATATGCTCGCCATGATTGTTGAAAAGATAATGCATCGGGTGCTTTTTCAAGATGATAGCTTAGATGGTACCAATATGAATATAAATAGCCTAGTAAACTTTTTTCTTCTCTCTTCTATAATTAAGTTTAACCTCAATATTCGAACTCTATTAACATGAAAAAAAACACATAAGATATACTTTATGGAAGAGAGAAAAGAACATAAGATTATTTTCTTTCCTGCGGGTATCGTTATCATATAACATAAGCACTTTTTCGATCCTACCTTTTATAACTTATCTCTAAAGATTCGATTTGATCATATTATTTAAAGATTAGTTAGATCCTAATCAAGATTTTCTAGAATAATTTGAAAATATTTTCAATTGCTATATATATGTTGACCAAGGTGATTTGATGATTCGGTTCGAGTATTTTAAATAGATGTTAGATATCTCTAGACGATAAATAGCTATCATCATTTTGGAATTTTTTCCTATATAATATATCCGGTAAACTGATTTTATTTTATTTTCGACATAAAATATTGACTATAGAATAAGATTGAATCCTTATCGAAAAATGTTGAGATTGATAGTTGTCTCTTCTTTGAAGACCGAAACGAGATTTTACATATATTATATCTTATTAGAATATTTCAATCGAAAAAAAATTTTTCAATGAAAATAAAAGATAATTCGATGTAAAATAGAAGATTTGATTTCAATGTAAATGGTTAATTGTTTAAAAAAGTAAAAGGTTATCTCGATAAATAGTTAACTATTAGAAATAAAATATCTCTATTAGAAAATGATTTGTTTAAATTATATTCGAATATTTGGCAAAGAATTGATTATTGAACGGTTCTCTATTCTCTTTCGTCGTTTCGTTATATAATTATTATATTGAAAAAAGTGAAAGGTATATTCACTTTGTTTTTTATTTGTTCAAAAATAGAATCAATCACACTCTCAAGCTTTGAAATTGGTCATAACAAGGACTTGTTTCATATTGAATTTGATACAATATAATTCTAAGAATAATTATCAATTCTATACCACTGTTCATATATTAATAATACTTGTGTTCGTGCTTACTTTGATTTATTTTTTTTTGTCTTATCAATCAATGGCAACTAATAGTGAAAATTCACCTGGTCATGAATCAGTTGTTATAGACAATGATGAAGGAATAAGTGTTGAGAGTAATCGAACGACTACTCATATCAAAAGTAAAGTTTTTTTTTCGAAGAATAATGAACGTGTTCTTATTGGTAATAAATCTTTAATTTAAAAACTAAAACGAATATTTTATTATTAGAAAAAGGTGTTAAAGGTAGCTTTATACCGTCAATCGATTTAAACGCTTTGGTTTTATTAAGTGGTAATTATGATCCTTTTTTTTGTTATTTAATTTTATTTGTTTTCCAGTACAGATAAAACTGAATGGCCTAAAATTTTCGCACGAGAAGCTTCAATAATTGATCAAGTTCGTCCACAGAAATTATTCGTGACTGATACCTACAGATTTGACATCATGAAAAGTGAGTTATTTAACTCTAGTCACAGTATAAATAATATCTCCTTGTTTTACATAAAAATTCGATTAATATACGACAGTTACAAACAATTATTAGACGACAAATGATTATAGATTTAATAATAATTGATCAGCATATATATATATATATATCTGATGAAATTTATTACTCTTTGTTCATTACTTTTAATAGTCATCTATTATTATTTGATTATTTAATGAGTTTCATGAGGAGAAAATTTTCAAGCATGATCTCTGATGTTTATTTATTTTTTTCTGTAAACATTAATCCGAAGAGTTCTTTCTATGCAAAGAAAATACATATAAAATGACAATATTTTATATTGACGACATTAAGAGAAAAAATTAGCTGATATATCCAGACTCTTCAAAGGATGCACCACAGGTACCTAATCGACTGTTTGTCTCGTTTGTTTTGACTAAGACTTGGAAATAAGGAGAAAAAAGATCTCATATAAATGAACATCTGATATAGCATCATCATCTAGTTAGAACGGAAAACACATCCTAGCACTTTCTTGTTTTTTATTATTGATGAATTCAAAAAGAAAAATTTTTTTTATTTAAAGAAATAAGGCAGAAGTAAAACAAAGTATTTTTTGACTTTTGTATTTACCGACAACAAAAATCGAAGAGATTAGTTGAAATAAATTCCTATCAGGAGAGATACTTGTTAAATTCTAATTGGAAGGTTTCAGGAAATCTAAGATTCCAAAAAACTGTTTGAATGTATTCCATAGGTATTAAAATCATAAATATTGGAAAGCAAAGCTTTTTAGTTTCGTGATGATATGAATTTTGTTTTTTTTTTGATATCAGTAAGAAGAAAAGTTATTAATATTTGATTCGTATGAGTGCAATTAAGAAAAGCCATATTTGAATAACGCTTCATTGTTCTAAATAATGAACAAAATCAATTCGACTTAAACACATCATAAGACAATTGGAAGAGTTTTATGCTTTCGTCAACGATAAAAATTTTCAAATGACAAATAGGAAACGATGAAGAAATTGACAAGAAACATCTCAAAAAAAAAAAAAAACTTTGCGCATAGGAAATTTTCAAAAACAAAATATCTATTTTTCTTCTTCCGGCGATAGTGGCTCAATCGATCGGCTTAAATCTCTAGTTTCGAACATACTGCATTTTCACGGTACCATAAATGTCCATCGCGGCTAAGAATCTGCCAAATTTCGATTTTCAATATATGAACATCGAGATTCTGTACAAATTTATATATTTTTGAAATTTCTTCCACATTGCGATGATTTTTGACAAAAATCTACCATTGTCGCTATGGATATCTCTAATATTCTTATATCAGGTTAGGAGCAAATCAAAAAATTTGAAAGTTTCATAATAATGTCTCTATGTGCAAAAAGTCAATTTGAAAATCAGTTTTCATGAGAAGTACTACTAGAGCCCATCGAGTCCTACTTGGACTCGATGGACTTCTAAGTACCACTACATTAAGTTAAAAAGCAATATACAGTATGTTTGCAATAATAGACAAAAGGCACAATAGGGATTAATTAATCGCAGGACTTTCCTTGTAAGCGTGTATGCAACATTATAACAAGTCTATTTAAAAAATTTTTTCATAGATAGCATGATGTTATCTTTAGTGTTTTATTCAATTTGCATGATAAATGAAAATGTTTAGATATATTTATTTTTCTATTTACCAAAAAAGAAAAAAAAAAATTATTGTATTTTTAAATTTACTTTAGATTTAATCGAAGCAAAAACAACTGGTTGTTTTGATTTATTAGATGAAGAAAGTAAATTACCAACACCTCGAGCTGAACATTTTACAATTGAAGTTCATAAACGTAATAAAGGTCATCCAAGACTTGAAGTAGGATAAAAATGTTCATTTGATTTTTTAAAAATAATTTCATTCAAAATTTTAGTTTCCACGAAAATCAAAATTACGTTCATCACGTGAAATACGTGATGATGAAGGTTTTCTTATACAACATTTTACTGGTGGTGTTGTTTATACAACCGTAAGTTCGTTGTTGTTTTTTTTTGTTTTATTATTAATCTATTTTTTAGGCACAATTTATTGAAAAAAATAATGATGCTTTAGATGCATCTCTTCTTATTCTTATTCAAGAATGTAAAAATAATTTTATAAAAAATTGATTTCCAAAATTACCCGAACTTGAACAATCAGCAGGAAAATTAAATATTATTTCTGTTGGTTCAAAATTTCGTTCACAATTAACTGATCTTATGAATAAATTACGAAGTACGGTAAGTTATTATATATTAAAATTTTGGTTGATACATCATTAAAAAGAAAAAAGAAACATAGTCTTCTAAATCTATGAAGATGAGTCAAATATTTTTTCTGTCTATATCTACCACCGGTTTCGATGATACAGCTTTATTTGTTTTTCCTCTCTCTTCTTGTCTTTGTCATTTCTTCTTATTTCTTTCAGACCATCTTTTTTTTGTGTGTAGGCGGATTCTGATTGTCGTTGTTGTTACACACATACATACATACGCATATTCTATTCTTCTGGATATACATATATATATAAATATCGATGTCTTCGTCGGCATTATCATCAAAAACTAATACATTTGTTCAAAGTCAAGCACAATATTTCAATCGACAAAATAGTACATTAAATTCGCCTATGAATGTAAATCGTCAATCACCAAGTCCATCATCAACATCAACTCGTATAATTGGACCAAAACCATTTTATCGTTCACAAATAACTCCTGATCCATTTGATTATACAAATAATTGTCGTCAACAAAATGATTATCAACAATCTCGTCAAAGTCCGCTTCAACATCGTTTTTCATTTAATCAAACAAACGGTAAGCAAAAAAAAACATCACAAACAAATAGATAGTTGTGCATATTATTTATTCAGTGAATTTTTCATTTGTTATATGGTTTGTTCAAGCATGACGCATGAAAATATGTGTGATTGATTTTCTTATTTTAGTCAATGACAATGATAATGATGGTGATGAATTTATATCATCAGATGAATCACTTTCAATTGAATTTCCACCTCCACCAAGTACTTTTTCTACATCACCAATTATCAATAATACTTATCAATTTATACGTGTTAAAAATCCATTTGTTCAAACAAATATCGGTCGATCAGATTCAGGTAAAAATTTAAAAGACAACAAACAATTAAAATCTTAAACAATTCTATTCTTATTAATTTTTTTTTATAGTTTCAAATCATCATTATAAATCTCGTAGGATTTTATTATTATTTTTTCTTTTTGCCTTCTGCATGCTTTGTGGTGACTACATTTGAATGTGCACTACACGTTTGTGTTCTGTTTCACTCCCTTTTTTTTCTTCAGTTCAAAAAAACAAAACTAACTATATATAGCGGTTTCTGATCAAACATTGAAAGATAAATCGAAGGTTATAGACATGTTGGCACGTTCTGAATATTATTACACATACATATATAACAATCTTTTAGTTAACAACATAACGAACAATTCTTGTTAACGTGGCCAATTATCGCAAGGAATAGAAAAGATTGTATATTGAAGATATACCTCGATGAAGCGATCAAGATTCTTTTTTTTCTTTTTTTTTTTTCTAAATGAGCAATCTAGTGTTGGTTTTGTTTGTCTAATAATGTGAAAAAAAAATCTATCTTTGTATATATATACATGGAAGAAGACCAGTCAATTTCTTTTTCAATTGTTTATTTAGGTTCTTCACTCTCAAATTCATACATATCTGATCATGAACCATCATCACCAACAATTACAAAGACTTCACAGTACCGATCGACAACACCAACGAATAATAATTATAATAATAATCGTCATAAGTGTGATTTTATTACAAATAAAACGCGATTAGATTTAATGTTTATATTGTGTCGTTAGTTTTTTTTTGTAAAGCTGTCATCAGTGTTAGTTCATCTCAATCACCAGTTATAACAACTGCACCTCGAGGTTCACCAAATTGATCTGAAATTCGTTTTTCATCATCATCTAATACAACAAAATCAACTTTTAAAGAAATTCGTATATCACGACCTGATTCACCATCAATATCAATCAATAATCGTCAAGAAATTAAAAATCAATCAATTAATTATGCTAATGGAAATGATAATGCTTTTCATATTTCACTTGGTACACCACCAACAACTACAAATCAAAGAGAAGTATCTGTATCATCTCCTTTATCATCGATTCGTATGCTTGGACGATCATTACAGGTACAAAAACAAATAACTAATAGTATAAAATATAAGAAAATTTCTTTTTAGTCAATTCGTCAGATGGATATGCATCGCGATTCACCTATTGATAATCAATATACATCAAATGTAGTTGCTAATCGTTTTAAACCATTAATGGCATATACAAGTGTGAATAGTAATAAATCACCAGTATTTGATAATTCAGAACGTCGATCACCATCTGTTGTAAATCTTCTACCAACATCTTCACATCCAAATTCAACACCATTTACTATGCGTAATGGAAATTTGATAAAACGAGATGCATCTGATGATGATCATTTAACAAAATTATTAATGAAAAGTATGAATTGATCTAATGAACCGAATTTTTTGGTTAGTTGAAAAAAAAACTTTTTTTTGTTATAATTTATTCAAATATCAAAATTTTTTCTCATTGTAAAGGTATGTGTGCAAGATGGAATGATGGAATGGTTGGAGAAGAAAATGGACTTGTAGCTATGGATAGAATGTATTATGTTTTACATGTACTATGTGTAGTTGTCGTTTACGTGGTATGCATTTTTATTCAATGGAAAATAAGCCATATTGTGAATCATGTTATATTGTAAGTTAATATTTAATTATTGATGAAAAAAAATATTTTCTTTTAGAATTCATTAGAAAAATGTGTTGTCTGTGCAAGACCAATCCCTGATAGAGTAGGTTAAATAAAGAAAAACAATCTTGTTAATCATTTTGTATAAAAGAAAAGACAAATTATCAAATCAACAAAAAGATAAGAGAAACATTATATGTCGAAAACTACAAGAAACGATTACAAGAACAAAGTAATTATTGTCAATAAAGACATAATATGACTGCAATTTATACTTAACAATCGTATAATAAATATGTAGAGGTCATCGATTTTCTTTTGATATTTAACGGTCATATATTCCGCTTTGTTAAGAATTATTATGACTATTGTTGAACTTACAGTACAGGATACAAATAAAAGAGCAATGCTTTTGTTGTTTATCTTTCTACGATCTCAAACATTTAACTCAAACTCAAATAGTGATTTGAATAGCTTATAAAGTTCTCTATCAAATGCATTTTATTGATGTCTCAGAAGAATTTATAAAAATTAGTTTTAAAGAGTATCATGTTAAAGAGTACAAAATCTTGAGTAAAATGAGGAGTTGCTTGTATTTCCTACGACATTTTCTTAAAAAGTTATAAGCCTCACAAAGCAAAATTTATTATAGCATTACTAAAAATCGCATTGGTTTTTGTAATGCTGATAATTTTATAAAGAAAAGTCGTAGGAAATGCAGCAACCTCTCATTTTACTCAGGATTTTGTACTCTTTAAAACGATACACTTCAAAACTAATTTTCACAAAGTCTTCTTGGACATAAATGAAATGGATTTGATAAAGAATTTCATGAGCTATTTAAATCACTATTTAGATTTGAGTTAAATGTTTGATATCATAGGAAAAAAAACCAAAAAATATGTTATTCTTATATTTTGGTCTAGTATTGAATTTTCGTTGTTTTTTTTCTATTAATAGATTCTGCGTGCAACGGGTAAACCTTATCATGCCGAATGTTTTTGTTGTATTGTTTGCCATAAAAGTCTTGATGGTGTACCATTTACAATAGATGCAATAATGAAAGTACGCTGTATTGATTGTTTTCATCAAAAATTTGCACCACGTTGTTATGTATGTCATCGGCCTATATTACCAATGAATAGTCAAGAAGAAACTATACATATTGTTGCACTTGATCGAAGTTATCATGTTGATTGTTATCGATGTGAAGTAAATATTAAAATCTAAGAGAACAATAAGAAATTCTTTTTTTTTTAATGCTTTTTCTTAGAATTGTAAAGTGCAATTTACAAATGAAGAAGGATGTTATCTAATAGATGATCATATTTTATGTATTCATTGTAATAGTATTTATTCAAGAACTATGTTTGGTCATACATAATTTTCCTACAGCTCCTTGTGGTTACGAAGCTATCAATATTAATATAATCGAGAGAAATATCAATTCCATTCGTAAGTTATCTAAACTTACGAAGAAGAAAACGACCGATTCAAAACAAATAGAAATATCTGGTGAACTATTCCAGTCAACATTGTAAATACGACTCAATTTATTCTTGACTTGATGTATATTAAATTGAATTCTATTGTAGGGCTATGCTTTTCGTGAAGCTTTGAAGAAAAAAAAGTAAATCCAATTGATCGTCGATTGATTTATGACAACAACACAATCAATATGGCATTTGTTAAGATTTTTAACAGTTGAACAAAAGAATTTAAAAAAAAAGATCTTGTATTGAAGAAAATTGTAAAAAAACAATTTATCTTTTACTTAATAAAATACTTGATAAAAAAAAGAAGTTTTTCTCATGAATACTTACTTGTTTTCATTCATACATTGAACTAAATCAAAGAAAATCTATACAAAACGGCTCATTCTCAACAGAGATACTTTTTAGTATATATCCTGCTCTTCTATTTTCTCTTCGGCTATTTATTGTTTTAATACAGCAATTTAAATCTACTATAGCTATTTAATCTTACAATCGATCTTTCACCATAGCCTATAGCTATTTAATTTTTCCATGACTATTTAAATTCTTCTTCGACTATTTAATCTTCTCGTACAGCAATTTAAATCTGCTATAGCGATTTAATTCTATAATTGATCTTTCATCTTCGTCTATAGCTATTTAATTTTTCCATGACTACTTAATTTGCCGTTGGGCTATTTAAAGTTCTTGTATAGCTACTTATTTGTTCTATAGCTATTTAATTATCGAGCAGATGTTTGATATTTGTGTAGAGCTGTGTAGTAGTTATGCAGTTTGAGAAACAAAAAATATACCATTTTACTATTCATATAATACCGTGTATGTTCTATTATATCGTTGAGCAGAGTTTTATGAACAAAATATATGATTCTGATTAAAAACAATTTCATTTTAGCAGGGTTTCATGATGAAAAAATATGATGTTACTATCATTTATAAATCTACCTAAATCATGTACTAACTTATGTTTCTTGATAATATGATTCAGTAGGGTACGATGGAAAAAAAGATTAAAGATTATACGATTTTATCATCTTTTTCTTTTTGCATCTGTTTTGAAATTTTGAATAGCTATATTTTCAGTAACTATGTGAAATTTTAAATAGCTATAGGAAACTTTAGATAACTGTAGTGTTTTAAATAACCGAAACACTTTGAATAGCTATGATTTTTTGTAAGTAGGTGCACCGCTTTTAAATAGCTATATGTGTAATTATAAAGTATCTCTTTTGCGAAAATTTATGATGTTTTTAAATAGCTATATGTGTAATTATAAAGTATCTCTTTTGCGAAAATTTATGATGTTTTTAAATAGCTATAGCTTTTTTAAATAGCTATATACTTAATTAAAAAAGTATCTCTTTTGAGAAGCTACGATACAAAAAAATGAGAATTTAGTAGAGCAATTATTTCCATTTCTAAATAGAATTATTTGTGTTTAAATGTTCCGATCATTAATTTGTTTCACTTTTTTCAGATTTTCATTATTTTCGAATAAATAATAAAAATATTAATTAAATTTTTTGTTCAAAAAAGATTACTAATCTTTCGATTTTCTAAAGTTTCTTACTTAGTATCGAGTATATCTTCACTAGTTTTAACGGAGATTTGACTCGAAAGAAACTTTTGCATTGTTTATCTCACGAAGTTTAGAGATATACACGTGTCTCACTAAGTAGAGACTGTACTTGGTGTATACACACCCCTAATCTACGTGAGAAGTTTGTTTTACGAAAAAATGCCGAAGCTAAAAAGAAGATCTATATCTCAAAGAAATGCCGAGATGGCAAAGAGAATGGGAGAAAGAAGAGCTAACGATGAATTTCGTTTGATGGACAATAGAAGACGAGCAAAATCTCAAAAAATTGCACGACAAAATAATGATTTTAAAACTGGAGAAAACGAAAAAAGAGCAGAAGCTCTTAAAATTTCACGACAAAATGATGAATTTAAAA